CAGGTCAAAAAAAACTAAGGCGTGGCGGTGTAACCAAGCGATCAGCCAATCGCTGCAGTCGACAGCATGATCACGTGATTACCAGGGATGCGTCTCTCGGTTAAAGCATTGCAAAGCGGTAACTAATAAACAATGAATAAAAAGCTATTAATCAAACTCCTGTCATATACGCTTATAAACTTCAACTGAACTCACAAGTCGTTAATCTAAACAAAGTCATACGGCGTGGAAACAGAATGCAAAGACAATGTCGCTTTCATAACACATTACTCCTCTGGCAATAAGACGGGAAAAAGGCTAAAACAATATAAACTACTGAGTTACATAAACCTGTCAATCATGAACAAAAGCTTGCGATATCAAACAACACGTATATAAGCGCACCATACTCACTTCAAAAAGACATTAAAAAACGTTACAAAGGTGCTATCAACTCAAAACGCGTCAGAAGTTTTCCGGAAAACAACACATAAACACAAACAACTCTTAAAACGTCGGTATCTCTGTACTCGACAAATCTCAAAACTCTGAAAAACTCGTGGGGGCATCACTCTCCCCATCATAATCCGTACTCATAAACTCATAAAAACTCCATAAAACTTCACAAAACTCAAAACACTGTGTTGCAAATACTTGTCCACTGAAACGCGCTTAAATCGTTATAAAGGACCTCGCACGTCACTAAATATCATTTCAAAACACAAATCTGGGCGCTTACATACATACAATTCAACATCACAAAAAAACGGTAAGAAAAACGATAGGAAAAGCAGCAATACATTACATTACTGAGCAATAGGGTTAGGGTTGTGGAAAAAAGTTCAACGTCTTAAGTTACAGTGTCCGTTACAGTGTCCAACGAGCGGTTCTCTATACAAATAGCTAAAGTCAAAGTCTATAAGCGTCTTCTTCTCTCGTCGCGTTAGTCCGGGTCGTTCTTTTTCTTCATCTTCTTGTCTTTAATGTCGCTCAATTCTTAATTATACAGTCCTATCCGGTACTCGTCCTTCGTAAGGGGTTCTGAAATCTTCATCTCGTCAGCGTTGTACATCGGTGGTGTTTTCCGGGTAAAGTCGTTAGTCGTCAAGTGCAGTTTCCGAGTCGTCTCTGCCATCGAGTCAGTTAGTTCGGTTCGAAAGAAAGACACATCTTCGCCATTTCACTTTTCTTCACAGGATGTCAATGTGCGTAAGACGCAATGCCCAGGGTTCTCACACCACGTATCAGGGGGAAATTTTTTTACCTGGGGTTCTCTACACTTGTCAGGGGGGAAACTCGTCTCGTCTCTATATCTCGTCCCCTTGAGGTACGGGATCGGGGAAGTCACTTATACTTTACAGTCAAATAAGACACACACAACGAAATACGTTTCAGCTCTCGTCTTAGTCGATCTGTCGAGCACTCTATAAGACACAGCACCCTGGGGAAAAGTCCCCAAGACTCTCTTAGACTGCGTCAACACTCGCCCCGTATTAAGTTCGGTTTGCTTAATTCGAACTTTCTGACTGGTGATAAATAACTGTCAAAACTAAATACTCATGAGAGTAGCAAGCATATTAGTTGTCTCAGAACAATTTTATTTGGGAAAATAAATGTAAGCATGGTCGTCAACGTAATAACTCATTGTACTGGGTTATTATCGCTCACAGTATGATTTAAGTTTCAAAATATCATGATAATTCATTATGGGAAAGTGGAAGGACCCCGTTATTCTGTACATTGTATTCGAATATATTAATGCGTGGATGGAAACTTGTGTCAAAGTAATGTGGATATGGTGTCAGAGAGACATGGCAGCATTTACCACGCCCACAGCAATATGTTAACAGCATGATATTTTTAGTCTAGAATTAGTTCTAGTCTACAACAGTATATCATTGTTATTAGCTATAGTGGCATGTGACCTCAATAATAAGCGTAAGTATAATAAGTATTGGACTAACAATTTATGTTTACGATGATGATGAATGTTAGGCTGGTGTTCCTAGCAACCAAGAATACACCAACAGAGACATACGTAATATATAATACAAATATTCTTGTACTCACAGTATTCATACTACCTGATATATCAAGTATCAGGACGATTCGGAGCTCAATTTCTTGTACAACCAAAAACGAAGGTGTCACATTTATATCAACAGCAGGTTCGTTTCCCTCTCCAAAGTCGGAGTGTTGCAGCATTACTTCCCACACACTCTGATAACAACATTGTTTGTTTTGCTTGTTTCGTGCCAAACGGTTGTGTTTTGCCTTCTGATCTTTTTCATCATTACCGTGACAAAACGTCACAACCTAATAATTTTAAAAGGAAGATGGGAATATATTTTTTAGTTAATCGCAACAATTTCTACCACCTTTACTCATTTAATTAACCTATTATACTTAAGTCGAATTTACTAAAGGCACCAAACACTATACGTATATACACAGTGCACGTCTCATCAATATGAGTACTTACTTAATCAACATCTCCTGGAAACGCCACACCCATATTCTTTGCTAAAGTCAATACCGATCATAATTGATATATACAAACGACTATCAGAGCATTGCATTTCTCATACTGCAACATAGAGTTATACACACTTACTGAGTCGAGGTAGTTTGCATACATGTATGAAGCTGTTGCCTCGTTGTTATCTAGATCAGGAAAGAATCTGCACCCAGTACTCGGCATGACACCACTTGAAGGGTCCGTGTTACATTCTTTGTAGTTGTCTGATATATTCAATGATTTCCCTGTGACAGCCTCAGAACATCTAGTGGGTTGTACATTGCCATTTTCGTCATAATAAAAATGATCATACTCTTCTTCAGGATACTCATCATATACACCCCATCGTAAATGAGCCCATTCATGTACGATCACCTTCCCTGAAACGACAAGACAATATTTAATCTGTCTGTATATATGTATTCCACGAAATGCTGCTCATGTAAGTGTGCAATTCAACGATTTGCTACTACGTTTATTTCACCCAACATATTCTACAAACTCTTATATCTAGCTTGTTAGTAATTGTATTGGACCATCCTATGCGTTTTGCCTCGAGTTTGTTGTAACTTTGAGCATGTGTAATTCAGTTCATCGCTATGTACTCAGCACAACTCAGCACAGCTCGTATTATCAACGATAAATATTCTAAGCCACGAGCATTAGAGCCACATTTTTGGGATTGGTCATGTGGTCTTCCACATGTCAATACTACCAATGAAAAGTGGTATCTTTTTTGGTTCTCACGACAAAATTGTACTGACTGCTGTATTCAATTTTAAAAGTCAGTGGCCAATGTCTTAATACAATAGTTATATACAACAGTGTAAAACAATGTATTCAGTATTATGTTTGCAACTGCTAGGTAAAAAGTCATCCAATTAATATAATGAATGTCCTACTATTTAAGTATTTGTTCCTTACCTGAATCCCCCCAATAATACCAGCTAAACTGTTTGTCTTTAATCCATCGTTCTGTCAGATGTATATACTGTCCTGGATCCCCACATTTAAGAATTTGTTTTGTATACGGATTGTGTCCATAGTTGGTATTTGGCTGGTCCACTATGACATTAGCTAGATCAAATCTCTCTGTAGTCGCCGCTGCTTCCGTGAGATTGTCACTCCACGTCTTTGGTATGAGTATCGTTACATTGTTAAAGTATGTATGATATTCAGTGGCAAGATGCAGATGCGATGATGCACTAGTAAATATCTCCTGGGAAATATAATGATAACATTAATCTACTCCCAATAATACAGAATTAAGGTTACTAAGAAACATGCGACCATAGTGATGCTGGTCTGTGTTGTTGGAAACTACAAAAGAATGTGCACCAATTTACATTGATAGCGTGCTTAGTAATCAAGGTGTGTTAAAGACAACACACAAATGTGACGCATTTATAATACATCAATTATGTTTACAAGTACGGAATGCACCTTTAAAACACGTACTCAACATGGTATTTATGACATGTCATGCCTATTTAGTGGACACTATACACTTGATGTTATTTGATTTCAATGTATCGGAATGATTTTATAAATTGACGGTAGCTAACTACTAAGAGTATTTAACTTGCTTAGCGACCATGGAATCGTCTGCTGAACAGCATGTTATCTTGAGGTTTGCGTGGGTGCAGTGTTGCGTGAATATTGTGCAGTGTGTTGATGTGAACTTAGAGCTTTGAACCTAGATTGTTAAAGATAGGCAGTGAAGTAATTGGACGCTCTACATGTAGCGTTTGACAGATGTAACTTAAAATTTGCATTAATAACACGAGACATATCGAATGTTATAAAATATCTGGAAGCATAAAGCCCGGTTGACATAAACCTGAACAGTTATAAGGTTCCAGAAACATGTTATTCAGCTAACACTTTTGTGGTTTTACATAAACCACATAGAGAATAGATTTAATGTTTTTGGTCTTCAATTGGCTTGGGAGCTCCAAACTTAAATAGCTCAAAGGTCACGTTTCATTACAATGTTTCGGGTGTTTTATGAAAATATATATACCGCAAAAAATAAGTAACGTTTTGTCATAACATGACCATCTCGTGTCCATCGCCGACTGGACACGTCCATCTCTACTCATCTTAACAAGTCAAGTGATTGCGAGTCATAGTAATGCGTGAATCAACGACTACAAATACACAGTTCTTTAGTAGCGATGGAGTCACATTTGTTGAGATTTAAATATTCAACATATTTAAACATGTCCTGGATGTGATGAGATATGACAATTTGTGTGTGTGTGATAGTTAACGACTGCGTCCAACTATAGTCTCGGTTCTTCTATTCAACGAGATAGCAGTGTTAAAGTTATTCTCAAGCGGAATTTTAATTTTGAAGACAAAGATGCCCTGACGTATATTTAAATAAACCTTTCTCTGGGCAAACTCAACACTACTCACCTTGATTCTAGTAATCAGCAAAGGATCTTCCTCGATACTTTCGTGTATTGCCACCAGTACATCACGGTATCCATTATCTTCTAGGCTAACGGGATTACGACAGTCAGCAAAAGACACCAAAAGAAAGGTAAAGAAATGAACAAGTAAAACTCTCATTTTGCCACAGGTTTACACTCGTTGCCTTCTTGAACTAATGGTGTCAGTATGGATCGTTTACAGCAAACTGCTCTGTTTAATACGTCGCATGAATAAGGGGTGTTATGTTTAGATAATCAAATCATCAAAGCTGTATAAAGGTATCTAAATTCTACCCTTAGTCTGTCACAATGCGTTGCTGTTAAGTGACACCCCCGGAAAAAGCTAATTATTAATCGAGCTGTCGTGGTGCGTTGGTGGTAAAAATACTGACTTTGATAAGGAGTGGCTGACATTACAATCTGGCTTTATATATCAAATCAATCAACATTTTTAGGTTGGTAACACTAGTACCTCATTTCCATGGATTAATATGACAATAGAAGATTTCATCTCAATTTTCAACATTTTATACTAAAATACTTCACACTAAATCTAGGCTAGGAATAATTGTGAAACAATCATTTTATTTTAAATACAGTACTGGTAAACATACATCGTGGTCATAGCGGTAATCCGTGGCTATGGATATTGTTGAAATTTCTTTACAACAACGAATTATTTAAGGTTGATAGCGGAACATGACATTTAGAAAAAAACAATGAGTGAAAGGTGTATTCCTGTACTGATGGACTCTTTCGTATGAGGCTGAATTAATTCAAGGAGTGGCCTACCTACCTATCTACTATGTGATGGGTATGTCATTAGGTTCCAAATTATACCTACTACCACAAAAATGCATTTCGCGCCACTCGATTCGACTTACCTAACAACCTTAGTCGGTACTTTATATTGACAAAGTGAGATCAAACCTTACTGTGAGACATTTTTGATCAGCTGAGATTATAATTATGTACTTTAACGAAACGTTTTGTTTGCTTACAAGGACGATGCTGACTAGTAATCCATACTAATAAAGCAGGGAAATGTAATTAAATTAGGAATAATATTAAACTCAAATTTCTTGTAATGTCCATCACATTGTATATCAATATTACAAAAGCAATGCCATTGTGAAACGATATCTTGCATATTTGTAATTAAATTTGAAATACAATTTACATCACACCAACCTGAGCTTTGGTCATGTCACAATGGTCGTTGACCGTGTCACAAAATTGACTCGTTAATAACATTGCATATACACAGTTATTCTCGCTGTCAAATAATATTGTCTCTCCTGCATGTTTGTTTTCTATATCTGCATTGATATATATATATATATCTTGACTCGAAAGTTTACAAAACAGATGTACATTCCAGCAGAATTTGTTTAAGGACATGAAATTTTGTGAGTTTGGCTAATTTCCCCGGAGCATAAAAAACGACTCTCAACTGTTTTTTCTCAATTCATAGTCACATCTGTTTTATAAAATACAGGGATACATTCTTACAAAATTAATATTCGAATCGGAAGTTAATATTCACGACAATAAGTAGCCCAAACGGGGACATGATAGTGCTACTCACCGATTCGCGTTGTTCAGAATCTACGGCGGAGAAAACGGCACTTTCGTGAATATGTACCTTCGACAAGGTTATCTTTTGTTTTAACACTCGCAGTTAACGAGAAATAAACAAGCCTCGAGCCGAACACGAACACACGGCCATTTCTGCTGTCTGGAGCCGGTTGAAGCCGCAGGGCTCCGATAAAATGCTGCCATGTAAACATAGCATATATCTTATCTATGAGTGTTTGTAATTGACACAGGAGCTAATCCTCCTTCACACCTACGAGAGCTTGTTGTAGTTATGTTTGACAATCATGAACATTAATGGAGCAGTACAGTGTACCATGACTACCCTTCTATTCAACAAAGAATCGAATCAATCCCATTTTCTAACCATAGAATTGTTAAGTAACGAAATACTAGTAAGTAGAAGATATAGATTGAACGTTTAATTCAGACAATCCGCTATGAGCTATGATATGAGCACAAATAAATAAATAAACGAATGATAATTACAATGAACTAAAATTGTATTCTCGCCAAGTAAGGTTGTGTGGTTTCTTTCTCTTTTGGTCGGTAATTATAACTCCCGACGTGTGCCTAAAGCTGTTAATAAATAACTATCGTTTGTGCGATATACTTCTTATTTTCAATATAATTCACTTTACGTTGATCTAGTTTAATGCTACTTTGAATCCTCGGCTCGAAAAACACGCACATGGGTCATTGGGAATATCTGTTCTATGCGTCGTTATTTTCGCTTTTCTTTCAGACGTTCGTGAAACAGTTACGCGCGAATTATAGTGCATGTAGATTTTCGAAATGTACACACTTGACATACCTTTCTCACATAGTACATATATATTCAATTACTCGCTGGGAATTGCCGGGCAATGTTGTTACCTAAAGAATGTCTTTCCATTTTTAATACATTGCCACAAACAAATATAGTTTCGAAGTTCCCCACTCTCATTCCTCCATGTATGTATCAAAAACGTGAAATGATGTATTTTGACCGATATTTGATTCCATTCACGCTGATAATGCCGCCATATTCGTTTTTAGTTTTTACTTCACGCTATTAACCATGATTGACAAGGCAGCCGCGTTCTTTGTATTTTTCCTTCATTCAGCATGTGAGAATAGTAATAATAACCTTTATTGATGAACGTATCCTTAATTGGGATATTGTTCATAATACAATAAAGTTAAATGTTGAAAGTTGAAATGAATAGAAAAAAAAGAGAAATATATATAAGATAATGCTTAACGTTTAACGAGTATGTGCACTTAGTCTTAATTTTGTCAACGCTGACCCTGGAATGGATTTTTGACTATTTCAAGATAACTTTCGAGTTCAATTTTCTCTTTTATGCATCTGTAAGTGCGTAGTTTGTTTCTATGATTGCATCCTTTTTTGTCATTGAATAAACATTTACCACAGTGTCTTTGAAATACCTGTTTTATGTTCATCTTGACTGTGGTAATAAGTTTGTTAATGGTTTCAGAAGTGTGGCTTTTCCAGATGCCATATTCAAGTTAAAAGTTTGTTTGATGCTTGACAACTAGTTTGGTGTGCTAGTTTTGTCTAGTTCAATACCTAGTCTATACGCCTTATTTACTAGTGTGTATTCTGGCTTCTTGTGATATTTTGATCCAATATTTTACCATCTGAATTGTACTAGTAACAATGAGAGGATAACGACCCAGCTCCATCAAGCATGCTACGTTTAATGATTTGCAATTTACTTTTATAAGAAAATTTAAAATTTAATGTGATTTGTTTCTGCTGGGTTATTGTTGATTATATTTTGTTTTGGTTTAATATTGTCACTTGACCAGATCTAAGTGGAATACAGTGAAACTGGTTTTATTACAAAGTCAAACATTTGTAGATATGTTTTAACAGGGATATTGATGTCACTGTGCAAGCGTTGTTTTTTATATACCGGTATGTAAACTGACAGAGGCTCGATTTAATATACCCAACACAATACCCAGTATTGCGCATGCGTGTGACGGTGGTTGAACAGATTTGTGTGCGGGTCATATTTAATACCTGGGACACAGATAATGGTTTTACACTATCGTGCAACAGCTCGCTAGTGGTCACAATATATACTACTGTGTTGCACACTTGTTGTGTGTCATCTGACGAGACAAGATGGGGAAGCAGTGTAGCATGGCAACCGAAGGAGGCGAGAACGAGGAGCGTGGAAACTGGGCTGGAAGATTAGACTTCATATTGTCACTGATTGGTTATTCAGTGGGCCTGTCCAACTTGTGGCGTTTTCCCTCTCTGTGCTACAGGAACGGGGGCGGTCAGTATAAGTAATATATATTTTACTTCCTCAGTACAGTCATAGAGTTATATTTATTTGTTTAACTACAAGTCTTGAGAAATTAAAAGTACGGCTTCACATTGACCCCGCAGGCACGTGCTGAAATACACACCTTCATATTGAGACCTCGGGCACGTGCTGAAATTTACGGCTTTAAATCGACCCCCTTACGCACGTGTTGAAATTGTAAAGCCTCTGCGACAACGTACGCGTTCATGCAGTGTTTCACCACTAGCTGCAATAATGACCTAGGTGGTATTACCGGTAAGGAAGTTTACATATCCAATAGCACGGTTTTGCCAAAAATGTTACCAATTTATGGTTTATGGGGTGAAGAACATTCAAAATATACGCCCATACTTACGATTAAAGTAAATCATTCTAGCTTTAGTAATTAATTATCTAAAAGTGGAGGAATTGAAGATATGTAATTATTGAATGATTGAATAAATGTACATCGCCAGAAATGAGTGGACAAGATGGCCGACTTCTGCCCTGGCCAGTGTTCCCCAGTCAAATAAACATCACATGATGTGCCATAGAGAATGCATTGCATAAACATATATTAAAACAAAATTTAATTTTGAGTTTATATTTTTAATTTTTTCACTTTTGTGTGCTTCGTAATAGAGAGGTGACGTTCCAAGCTTTCGATATGTTATAGATGTTTTCATTAAAACTTCACCATTAAATGCCCAACTTGTCGTAAAACCTGTTGATACATTCTACACTGGCCCAGTGTATTACCAATGGACGATATGTAATTGTGTGCCAGACTCTATTTTTTAAAATAGCAAAATGCAGTAACGCAGGGGACTGTTCAAATTTGTTTGCTTCGTTCTGGATACTCTCTGGTTCAATGAACACGGCGACGCAGCTCACGCAGTTGTAGACGCAGTATTCGCCCAAATTAGAGTTAACATTTATGCATTTTTAGTTGAACGAATTCAGATTAATGTATGTATATGTCTGGAATTATGGAGCTAAATGGCATTGAAAATATTGGTTTCGATTTAAAATAAAATGGTCATGGTTTTATTTTTAGATTGTTTTTTCAAACGGCTAAAAAAAGAATATAATATAATCCCTCGTACGTTAGACGACAGCAGTAATCGTTACATATTTTGTATCGGCTCATATTCATACTATTTATTGGTATTCCTATTCATACAATATCGAAATATCTCACAACAATTCTAAAATATTTGTATTATTCACAGTATCACAGAGGCATACTGCATGAAACATGAAAACTGATAGACGTAGTAATACTGTGTCTTCATTTTCATGGGACAACAATATTCAGGACATTTACCCTGTGCTATCAGCGTCGCCAGACTTCACGATTCTTCTTGCTAAAAACAAATCAAAACAAAATTAAATTATTATGGAATAAATTCTGATTAGTTCGGAATTAATTTCTGAATTATTTCTAATTAAAATAACGTCTTGTATTCCCTCAAATACATTCTACTACACGTGTGCATGATATAAGATTATTACGAAGTTACCTCAAAGTATGCACGAAGACAGTACATCGGCAGTATGGCTTACCACCAAAATCTAAGTTCACTTTAATTGCGATACAGTTTTCAGTCGATTGAGGGTATCGACATGTAGATAGACATCTGACAAATAAGTTGAAGTGAATTCCAATATTCAAACCAAATAAGGCGAAAATAGACTCTACTAAACTTGTTATGAGATGAACAATTATCAATGACCACGGCACCACGTCGCAATAATAGCCGATGTATTTAACTACAAAATACGCCAAAATTATTACAAACACCCATACCCTGTATATAGATATCACACTTACGTTCTACGTGTATATTTTGTCCAACATTTTAAGTCAAACAAACCATGTTGACCACTGACATTTTACCAGTAACACTTCCGATGGTATATTATAAATCTCTCGGCTATTTGAGGTAGAAAATGTACGGATTTTACGTCTGAGTACAGTACAGCGAAGGAATTGTCCGAGCGTATGATGCAGTTGCAGTCAGCTGTTACAATGTACGATATTATGATGGTCAGAATTACCGACACTCGGAACTAGAATATGCTCTTGTGCGGGAACTTTACAAACATTTCATTCATTTATACACCTTGAGCGTATCACTTGGCATCTGAATTTACTGAATAGGCTGGTTGAGAAAATAACAAAATAGCAAAACCAACATTATAATACAGTTTCGTCACTTTTATTACGTGGATTGTACTGAAAGAAAGGGAGGGTTCAACTCTCCGACAACCCGTTGTTACGGCAAACCGTTGTTACGACAACCCGTTGTTCCGACAACCCGTTGTTCCGACAACCCGACGTTTAAGCAACCAATCTGTGATAAAATACTTTGAAACATTTTTATTATGACAAACTCTATGTGTCTCTATACGCGGAATATTGCGATCTCACTCATCGTGTGTACCTTTAAGTAGATAATTCCCGGTAAATATCACAGTAATTTACTTAATATGGCATTGCTAAATAATTATATATTTGGGCGCAAATGTTATGTTATCACCAGGGTTAGTACACATATATGGCGCATACACCAAATATACATTTCAGAATAAGATCACAAACGTAATTATAATGACCCAGGTTCTGAACATGTACGCATGCGCAAAATGAAACCCTTGTCAATACACGTGTAACGATTTGTAAAGCTGAAGTTTCTAAAAATTACATTTCATGGGTTACATGGTATAGGCAAAAATAGATGTTTTGCCGGTCCCTAGAGGCCGTGATTGGCATACCGGGGTGTGAGGGTGTGAGGTGTCATGTTATGTTCTACCACGGCAACTTACCGTTGCGTATTCATTATTTAAACACACACTGGCGAGATGAAGGTGTGGGAAGGCACAGTCGTTGAAAATTAACTCATCCTTGAGCGGGGGTATACAAATGTCAGGTGCAGACACAGTATTAATTTAATTGAACACGGGATTTATTGAACATCGAATACTGGAGTATAGTAACGAGATACTATCTGAAGAAAGACTGTCTTTATTATTGAACGAATACTCCGATGTGTAAGTTGTATAATTGGAAATTAATTAGGGTCCTTAATTTCGTGAGTATTCATTGAAAACCGACCAATACACATCAGCGTCATGGAACACTCTATTTGCCACATTTTGGGTGTAAAACAGTAAATTTAACCATGAAAATATATCATCATAATGCTGATATCTGCATAGAAAGCATGTGAATTACTGCGCATGTATTATATAAATTCCATCTATTACGTCATTCGAAAAAAATCCTTTTCGCGCTGTACTAAAATTATGCTTAAACGAATTTAAAACGGCATTGCTCCAATACGTGTATATTACGGTATTAATCAAGTATTATAACTTGACGGTGTACAGGTAGTCCACATAGATTTTCAGGCAGTGTGAATGCCTTTGGCAAAAAAGACCGTTGATTATTCACAAGCTCTGATTGCGTTTTAGTGTCCCACTCGCTGTATTGAATTTCTTGCCGCTTCTGCTTGTTTGAGTCCAACCCCCCACACCCCCATTTCAACTCGTGATGTTAATCACGTCCACATAACCCGTTAAATTCATAGATTTGGGAAATTTTGTTAACTGTTATTCCATTCGGAAACTTGTACATCAAACAAATCATGTGGCCTGAATTAACCCGGTGGGAGTGTCGACATCAGGATTCACATACTTTTATACAGTTCCTAATTTTGTATCACCTCAATTTTCAAGCAGCTTGTAAGTAAACCTCTCAGATCTTTCAGGCATAGAACACTTATAGTGTACAATGCTTTCCTACCTATGTGTGTTATAGCTGCAGTAACTATATCTTTCTTTAAGCGTATGTACTTTAAACGTTTTAAATACTATTTTTATCCATGTAGCTGCTATTTCTGCTACTTGTTATTTTATTATTTTATTTATATTTCTCAAATTTGGGTCCCTTTGAAAAGTATAAATAACATACCCAACCATAGATCCGAAAACGTATAAATTCTTATAGAGAAATTTACAAGTCTGAGAACACAAAATAAATGGCTGACTGAAAACAATTAACAAACAATCCACAAGAACGAAACAAAACAAAACAAAACGACTGTCGAGTACACGACACTACATAGCCAAATGAATAAGGGAAAGATTGTTGGACTCTTTGATATACATGAAGTAATGTCTGGTGTTTAGGTATGATTAAGGTAGAGATGCTTGTTTGTGAGCACTTGGGAGTGAATTTTTTTTTTTTTTTTGCTTTTTATTATCCAAACAGTCTTGGCTATAGACTGTTAAAATTTTGTAGAATTATGAATAGTGGAACATACTCAAAAAACAATTTTAAAATATAGATAACAGGTGCAAACATTCTCTTTTTTGAATGCTTAGCAAGATTTAGCAAGGCTGTACATAAATAATAAAA